TATCATGATTTAATAACACTAAAAATTAAAATAAAAATTTAATATTCAAAGTAAAATTTATAGTCCAAATATAATATTTAAGTTTAAATTTAATAAAATATAACAATGTCCATTAACAACAACAATTTTGCATCTATAATAAAAAATGTCATTTTATTGTACAATAAAATTGAAAAATATGAAGATATAAAATATTGTAAATTAATATAAATTACTAAATTATTCTTTATAGTTTATGAGAAAGTTATTAAAAAATAAAGAAATAATTTATTCCAATTTATAATCTTTATCAAGTATGTTTTTATTTATTATAAAATATTTTAAATACATTTTAAAATAAAAAAAACTGTCAAAATATAAAAAGTAAAAAAATATTTTTTAAATATTTGGTCCAACCTGGTTTTCTACACTGGTTACACCACTTGTAGACTGATTTGCACCGGTTCTGAAATCTACCAGTTTTTTCTTGTTGCTAGATTGGTCACCAGGTCTGCTCCCAGTTGCTAGGTCGGTTCCTGGTCAGACAGGTTGAACCGGTCTGTCCGGTCAAGTTTTGACGACTGTGATAATAATAAGTAATGAACTCTAAAAACTAGATGTCGTAGATAGGGTATTCCTAATATTATGCTAAATGTTATCTTCTAATACCTCAAAATGCTGGTCACATCATCTTACCTAATGGTCTTAGGAGCTTAATAGTGTGCTAATTCTCATTGATTTTAGCAATATACATTTACTATATTACTATATCTTGCAATTCTGTAGATTTTGACATCTGAATCTGTACAAATATCTACAAGATATATGAATGACATGAATATTTTATTTTATTCAGAATGTGAAGGCATATCTGAGACGTGGGACTGCTAGAGAATTACAGCTTCGTAATAAGGAGGCTCTAAAAGGTGTGTTTACTTTCAAAAAACTGTCTTGCATGTCATTTGTATCCGATTTGGAATGCTGGAGTTCTTGACAAGGACATCGTAGAACAGCCATGACTAGTTGATTTTGATACTGCACAGGCTGCCAATAATGTTTGGACTTTTTTTAATTTCGATGTTTGCTTTCTTGATTCTAAGTTGTGGATCCTGTAGAGCATGATGACATTTAAAAACACGTCAAACAAAACTGTTGACTGCAGAAGATGCAGATATGGGAATAATCATATTATATACCGGGTCTGTACTACTTTGGTCCTTTTAGATCTTTTCTTCTTTGAGGAAATGGAATGCTTAGTAATAAAGGTAGGAGAGAAAGGTTTGTTTTAGAGTTCAGTTGTTAGACTTCTGGACGTCTTAATTGTAAGTCTCGCATTAGTGTAGGCCGAGTTATTTGTTGTGTCCAGTATTTACTGGGGCAGATCCACTTAGGGAGTTGTGGGGGCAATTTCCGCCACAAAGTTTTTTTAATAGTTAAATATATGTAATAAAAAACAAATTTTCCCCATTAAACTATTTTTTAAATAAGCATTGAAAATTATAAATAAGTCAACTGTAATACAATGTAAATAAGTCACATAAAATTATAAATACATACCTTAATACAATATATCAAACTGAGAGAGAAAAAGGAGAAATCGTTGCTCTATCTATGAGACAACTGTAATTTATAGAAACTTAGGCATTTTGAATTTTTTTTAATCATGAAAATATGTATTTTGTAAAATCTTATTATATTTTTCTTCTATAAAAATATTACAGACTATTTTCTTGCCCCTATTAAAAAAATTTCTGGAGCCGATTTATTGCCTATTCTTGGCTCATTCTCTGACCATTACCATTGCCTTTTACCAGTTTAAGTGGGTCTATTTGTTAGCTTTCTGGGCCATCAACCTCTTTTATTCTTATTGCTGTTCCCTTTCCTTTGCCATTTTTTCATGCTATGCAGATTTCCAGCATGCTCTCGTTCTTGAACCACAGAACAAGACTGCTAGTCTTGCAGAGAAAAGACTCAGAAAATTGGTGAGTTGATACAAGCTGTTCTTTCAACACTGACCTTCCTCCTCCTTGAGAATGTCAATGCTGTGGAAATATGATTATGGCTCTTTTCTTGCATTATATACCTTGGATGTGAAGAAGGTAAGTCGAAGACAAAGGGAAGACTAGTCTATATGTTCCATTTTTGGTCTCATTTTGGGAATTTTGTTGTAAAAAATCTTATTCAATAGTGCATATAAGTTTTGGACTACGTATATGCTGCTATCTCACCGCTCCTTTTCTCCCTTCCCTCCTCTGTGTGCATGCATAATGCAACAGATGAGTTTTGTCTGCATAAGAGTTTGGCCTAACAGCCTCTTGTACATTTTAAGTTCTCTCTATAATGCTTTGCACTTTTGATTGTACGGAAAGGAACTTAGTTTCTGCTGATGTAATAGGATTTACCTTCTCTAAAGTGAGGGTACACTTTGGAGGATAAACTGTAGTTATAATTGTTAGAGAACCTATGTAATGCCTTACACAATGTCAGTCCCTTGGCTTCCTTGTAGGAGTGCAGGGACTAAAGTATGTCGGTGTCTGGAAGGGTAGCGATTCCATCACACTGTTCCATCGCTGATAATTGTTCCATATTCTTGGTCATTGACGTTTTTAAGTTGATACAATGGCTGAGGAGCCCAAAGATTGCAAGATGGATCTGGATGAGATTAGAGGACCGTAGAGGGATACTATGACATTCTTGACGTTGTCACGGTGAGAAGGGTTGTGACTGATGACGTAGTGTGGAATTTAGTATGTCTAGACTCTAGAGTAATCCTAGCTGAGATTTTTTGCTATTTGAGTCTCCTTTAAATGCTCAATCCTTTGGTTATGCCCTTAGATTAATAGAGTCAACTCCCAAATCATGTTGAGGAGTTCTTGAATCTTGATGCTCGAGAGCATGGCCGTTAGGAGGGAAATGATCCAAATCTTCAGTTTCTCGTCGCGGTGGAGGACAAAACTCTTATGCCTTTATCTGCCTTTCTGATGGAGGAAAGCGGCAATTTTACCACATTGTTGCCGGTGAGAAGCATTCTTGTAAGTGTCCACCATAGCTGGACATGAGGGGATAGATAATTGACGCGGAGAAGCAAGCAAGCACGATCAAGAATGGAGGTCAAGTTCATCAGTGGATTAAAGAGAGATTCCACGAATGACGTCAATGTTATCAAATCCTTAGGGGGAGTGATCTCACGTTATGGTGATTGCTGCGAGCTTTTTGACGTTGGTGATGTTAGGGGTTTACCTTTGTCACAGTATCGAATCCAAGGCTTACAAAGCTTTGTTGACTTATCTTTTAGCAATAAATGTAGTTATGAATGTGATTTGTTTTTTGAAATGTTAGGAGATGTTAGTTTCTTTTTATAGTAAGTGTCATTTTAGGTTAGTCGTTATATATCGACCAAGAAAAGTTAATAAATAAATAAAAAGTAATTATTTTATAAAATTAATCTTATATTTAATTTTTCTTACTAAAAATGTAGCACAATAATCACTTTATAAAAAAATATCATGAGAGTATAAATGAACAAGAGATAATTATTATCATATAAATGCTAACATGACATTTATTACGAGATTTTTTTTAATACTATTATTATGGGATGGAGAGTTGTTGGTTTTTACATGATTAAAATAGATAGCTACTAATTATCATATAATAGATATTTGGAAGGCTTTCTTGTATTTAGATATTATGATGAGTTACATCACAACTTTATGGGTTGGTTTTTGGTTGATCCCTAAAAAGAAAATAATGAGATGAAATGAAACAACACTAATTCTTTATGCACATGTTTATTTTTTTCTCATTAGTCAGGCATTAAATAAAAAATAACAAATTATTTCTTGTAAGTGTGGAACGGTTTAGCATGAAACACTTCCAAGTGCCTTATCGATGTAGAGAATTTAAAAAAAAAATTATTTTATTAGATAATTTATTTTATAATAATTTTTTTATGTTTAATAATTTTAAATTTTGCTTTAGTTAAATATTGGTGGTTACAAATAAAAATAACCTTTGTCTCTTGACCTCCTTACCGCCACGAACTGACGTTGGAGTTGACTTGTGTAAGTCTCAACACATCTTGGTAGAGTGTCATGAACCTTTCACTTCTGGGAGAAGACCCCTGACCCTTCCTTAGGACCCACGATGACGTCATGTGCGATGAGTTGCTTAAGAGGGAGAAGGAGGAAGAGGAGGTTGTGAGGGTTGCACCACTGTAACAAAAGCAGAAGATGAAAAGGAACTTGTGGTACTGGTCGCATGATGAAGGCGGCGTTGCAGCAACATAAAAGGCGAAAACCTAAGATTGGGACATGCTGGGCACCACGTGGAGTAGTAGGATGCGATCCCGACAATGGGGAGGGTCACGAATGTGACTTCGGGGAGGAGGATTCGGTACGGTAGGATGAAACTCCCATCCTTGGTTTAGTTGCGAATTTTGATGCTCATCAACGAGGCATTTGCTCAAGTGCTTCGTACAAGTTTTGTAAATGTGACACTGTCAACTATGTCAAAACATAAACATGTTTTACCTTGTACGTTTCTCTTCTAGACTGATTCACTTGATTTGTCACATTTCTCACTTATTGTGTACTTTTTTTTTCGTGATTAGGGTTACGACACAACGTTATGATGCCTTCTATAATTTATTATATACATATATAAATTTTATTCTTAAAATTTTAAATAATAAAAAATAATATTAAAAATTAATTATTTTTTATAAAAATAAAGTTTGAATTTAAGATCTTAATTAAGATAGTCTTATATAAAATAAATAATGTCATAAAAATAATAATTATGCTTTGTGTTAAAGTTTTTATTCATTTATTTATATTTTTATTGAAGAGCTAGTTCCATTATATCATTATATTCATGCATGTTGTCAATTTAAATAAAACTGCTTACAATAAGAAGTTATTGTTTTCCTTAAATATTATTAAATTAATAATCATATGCAAATGCAATCATGTTTGTCTATTTTTAGTCAGTTATAAAATAAAATAAATGATATATAATTATCCAGTATCCACCTACGTACCTGGATGGACGCCAGGTGTAAAGCTTATATGAAGGGTATACATTAGTCATTTCATTTTCCATGTTCCTCCTTGAGGCACAGAACAAAAACGGGGAACACTGAGTCAGTCCTGGATTCTTCTGTTTAATTGTTCTGTTCTCTCGAGGATCAAGTGATTAAATTTGAAAAGAAAAAAAATATTGGGTCGGTGTTAATGTTGAGTTTGGTTTGTTCCGTCCTTGAATAGTGTAAGGAAAAGAAAAACAGAAAAGGGAAGAGGTGGAGGGGCACGTGTGTGACATGAAATGGCAGGCCGCGTTTGTTGCATGAGGTCCTGTCGTGTTGGCCTGCCCTGATCTCGAATTGTCCGGATGTTTGCATAAACGTCCAATGCCATATGCAAAGCAACCAATGTCTCACACAAAACAACGCCAAACATTAATTTGGTGTTCCTTCCATCCCCTCCCAACCCATATCTTCCATGTTGCCCAAACTCTCCAAATGCATCAGCTTCACCGCTTCCCGCGACTGGCTCTACCGCCACCTCTTCGCCGCCGCCGGCCTCCGCTCCGTCGCCACCGACCTCGGCGAGGGCACCACCATGCACTGCTGGGTCCCTAAACTCCACAAGCCATGCAAGCCCAGCCTCCTCCTCGTGCACGGCTTCGGCGCCAACGCCATGTGGCAATACGGCGAACACATTCGCCACTTCATGCCGCACTTCAACGTCTACGTCCCTGACCTCGTCTTCTTCGGCGACTCTTTCACGTCGCGCCCCGAGAGGACCGAGTCCTTTCAGGCCCAATGCGTTGTCAAGATGATGGAGGCTCACGGGGTGCACCGTATGAGCCTCGTCGGGATCAGCTACGGCGGCTTTGTCGGCTACAGCGTGGCGGTTCAGTTCCCCGAGGTGGTGGAGAAGTTGGTGCTGTGTTGCGCCGGCGTTTGCTTGGAGGAGGTTGACATGGAAAATGGCTTGTTTAGGGTTTCCAATTTGGATGAGGCTTCCAGCATTTTGGTGCCGCAGACGCCTGACAAGCTCAGGGAGTTGATGAAGCTCTCCTTTGTTAGGCCCGCCAGGGGTGTTCCTACTTGGTTCCTTCAAGATTTCATTCATGTACCTCCTTATGTCTACGTTTCTTTCATCTTTTTCTCTTTCTCTTTTCGGTTCTCATCAAGAATCAACATGTTTGCTTACCATTCAATGAAAAATAGATGATATATTATTATTATTATTATTATTATTATTTTGTCTTTGGATGGATATCTTGATACTAATTTAATTAGACAACAAGATACCCATAAAAAATGTGAAGGCTGCATCAGCATTCAACTCTTGATGGTTGTAATGTCCTCTGTTTACTACTTTGGACAGGTGATGTGTACAGTCCACATTGAAGAGAAGAGAGAATTGCTTGAGGCAATATTGAAAGATAGGCAACTTTCTGATCTTCCCAAGATCCAACTGGTATCAATTCTTTCCTATTAAATTATGCCTTAAGGTTTTGGATTTGGCATGCTTGTCATTGTTGTTAATTCTTTTAGATTTTATATTATAGTGTACTGTGTCTGTGTCTGTGTATTTTTTGCAAATTTTTTCTTGATCACTCATGAACAACTAGGACTCTGAGTGTTTTATCATCTATTTTTGACTACTAGAATCCATATGCAGCAATAAACAAATAAAAGACAGGAAGGAGGAGAGGACATCTTCAACACTGAAAATGCCTAGCCAAATAATTGCCATCCTCTAATTTTGAGATGCATTGATTTTTAGTACTCAGAAAAAAATACCAAACAAGTAGATTATATGTTTCACCTTCTTTTGAATATTTAGTTCTATGAATATTTACAATATTGTGGGTTTTACATTGGAGCAGCCAACTCTAATTTTATGGGGAGATCAAGATCAGGTATTCCCATTGGAGTTAGGCCACAGATTAAAAAGGTGAGATTTCAATTCGGTGGAAGTTCATGTTGTTGCTCATGAATTGCATTCAAACATCATCTGAAACTGGCCAGTGTCTTTGGAGCAGGCATATAGGGGAAAATGCTCAAATGGTAGTCATAAAGAATGCAGGGCATGCAGTGAACCTAGAAAAGGCTAAAGAGTTTAGCAAGCACTTGAAAGCATTCCTAATAGATACTCAAACTACAAAGTCATGTCCCTCCTCACCACTTTCTTCTGGGGAGAAAGACGATTTATAACTTTATCTCATTTAGAAGCTAGAACCAACTTCCTTGCCAGTGATTTCAGCTTTTCCTAAATAAGAGCTTTTGTCAGATCCAATTTTCGATATTTTCTGGGGGAATTACTCGTATTTTTTAATTTGGAAGGGGGTGGGGGGTGGAATATAATTTTTTTTTTCTTCTGATTTAATGCAAAGAAAGGCTTAGCGTGCTAGTTTCTTCCATTTTTGGTAACGGTTGGATGTGGGGAAGGTTCTCTGTTATTTATTTATTTTTGTTTCTCAGGACATATGTACAAGAATAAATAATTTCAGAACATATGTACAAGAATAAATAATAAATGCCCCAACTTTTATACTGTAAAGGATTTTTGATTTATCTTGTTGGCTTTCATAATAGTTATCTTAGAACTTATATCAAAGATAATTTCTGTAAAAACTTTTATTATGACAATGCATGATTGTTAAACTCTGTACAATTGACTGAAGAAATCTCAATATATATCACTTTATTTTCCTCAGCAGTTAGAAATTGGTCAGGTAGGGTTGCATTGGCATGGTGTGGTGCTCTATTATGAAACCAAGTTGTTAGTAATAGCGAAAAATTTTCTTATCTTTATTCTAAATTAACGTGTGGTTGTCATTTTTCTTTTAATAATTAAGATGAGCCAAAAACGGTATCATTTGGTGCAATTGGGAACTAATGTGGTTTGGAGTCAGAATCGAATCATTGTTTTCTTTCTTAGTTGGCATATAGACCTGTTTGAGTTCAAAATATCCCATTTTCTAAGAATTTCTGTTCTGCTCTCGCTGGCCAATGTGATCGTGGACAATGTTTTTGTATTGATGAACCTGTGAGTTACTCATCAAATGCTGCTGCACAATAGCAGGACTAACCTATATATGCTCATTAATTCGCTAAATAAAACAAAATAATAAGCAACCACATTAAACATTTCCATTATAAGCCGGATAATGAGAGAGGCAATTTTTTCCTTCTAATTAATATCTTTTTTCTTATTTTTATGAGTAGGCAGAAATAGCATAGTAATTGCCCTCTTAGAAGCCAAACCTCTTCATCATTCCTTTATTTGTCTCTTTCCAACTTGACATTATTCATTTTCTGCCAACAAGACTAACGGTGTGTTTGGAAACACCGGTACAAACGCCATAAACCATATATATCAATATACTAAAAGACGTAGAAGCTATACCTGATAGCTTTACAGGTAACGCGAGAAAGGATATCAAGAATGTGTGACTTAACAAGCTGTAACCTCACCTATTCCTCTTGGTTTCTTTCTTTTTTTTCTTTTTCAATGCTTCTACCAATTACGTGTCACATTACAATCGGCTTTGAATAAATATCAAACTTCTCAGAACACGAAAGTTGTGGCTCCTGCAAACAAAACCCATATAGAATCATCAACTTCACATAAATTATGGTATGTCATCAATACATTAGAGAAAGGAATGGATCATATATAGAGTAATTGATGTAATACATGAGCATACTGCTGCCGTGTGTTCATGGCATGGTCTTGATCGTTTAGGCCAAATTCTTTTTCTTTAGCTCCACGGATTGTAGAGCGCATGGAATTAAGCAATTGGCCATAAGTCAAATTAGGTTCATCTTGCATGGCTTGGATGAAACTGAAAGTCAAGGCTCCAGAGCTTTCCTCACTGCTAAAGGCCTAATCAACCAATTAAAGCCTTGGAGGTTATGATAAAGTCTGCTTTATAATTCCATTATATGCATATAGAATTGGAAAGGAAAAAAAACTAGCAGAGTTGCCAACGAATCAAACCAACTCAACATTAGTTCGAGACTTAATTTGATAATTTATTGATCTTAGTTATTGTATTAAATGAATTGAACTTATAATCGGTCAATAATTGAGTTGAACTTGTACCAAGTATATTTGATTTATATACTGACTTTACATAAATAATATACTACCAACTTTACATAAATAATATATATAGTAATGTAATCAAAATAGTTTTAATTTGAATCAAGTTGGTTAGCAAACTTAGATCGAGTTTGAATTAAAAGAAAAGGTTGATATCAAATTTGAATAGTAGAATCCATTCTTATTGACATGAGTCAAACCCGATCTAAATCAAGTTGAAGTCCCAAGAAAAGAGATGCATGAATGACTAACCGAAGTGTCCGCTGCATTTCCATCATCATCACAAGCTGAAATGCAAACTGCTAGCCCTCCTCTTGTGCCTTTGTAACCAGATCTGGGGTGTCTATGATCTTCCCATCCATAATAACCTTTTCTGTTGGAACTCAAAAAAAAAATCAGATTCAGACATACTCAGGACAAGATATAAAGCATTTTTAATTAAGTAACTAACTAACCGGTTCACCCTGCACATAAAAGGTAAATCAAGAATTGTCCCACTAAAGCACGTATCAACAAGGGCATGAAGTTTGGCACCACGAGGGAGAGGCCTAACAATTGTAGCGTTGATTTCATCGTCAATTATCTTGCCCTCGTGCTCGTAGTCAACGGGGCATATTGCTTCATCATATCCATCAACCTCATCCATGTTGGTGTCTACTTGCCGTGATCCATGTCCAGAGTAATGAAACACCAACGAGTCCCCTGATCTGCAACCCTCAACCAACCACCTCATTGCCATTCGCATGTTATACTTTGTTGGGATCCTCAATGGGTTCTTTTCCTCTGGATCATCTGCACATAGTTTCTCAGCCTTATAATGAGATTGTTGGTAGCTACTAGTTTTTGTTAGCCTTATAAAACTTGCATGCAATGTCGTAGGCTATGAAGCACCGATTTTGACATCGACAAAACTAAAGTCTAAAACATAGGGAACGGGATAGGGCACTTACACACATATAAAATTAAGAGACATCATTATCATTGAAAAGAAAATTTCACAATATCTAAATGAAAAAAATTGACTAACAACTCGGTAAGATCTTTAATATAAATCCCCAAAAAATTATTAAAAAAGAAAAATAGGAAATTTATTTATTACAATTATAATCTTATTTTTAAAATGATTGATAAAAAAGGTAACTATATCTATAACACATGTTCAATCATGTAAGATATGTATGTGTTAAGATACAAATAAGTCACACATCGATAAAATAACATGTAATAACATCCGTAATAAGATATTTAATTGAATATCAACATATATAATTAGATAAAGTTATAATTATGATAAAATAATAATAATATTATATGTGTATAGAAAATGAAATTCAAGTGAATTAATTTGGATAAGTTTCTCAATAAATATCTATCATATAAGAAAATAAAAAGAGGAAAAATAATTAAACTTTTGTCATATTATAGGCGTCAATTTTTATGAAAACCCTTTCATCTAACTTGAAGTTTATCCACGCAAAATAAGTACCTGTGAGCACGCGAATGGAATCACTGGGGAAACCCATCTTGTTAATGAGAAAATATTTCATGCTCTGAGCATCATTGACAGAGCCTTTAAGGCTGTGAATCTGATCAGCATAACTAATGCCAACTAACACAGCTTTCTTGTTGCCATGCGCAGAAGGAGGTGTCAATGAAGGTGGTGGTGCCCTCAGTCGCAAAGGCTGAGGATAATGCAACTGGTTAGGTGCCCTAGGTGCATAGCCATAGCCATAGCCATAGCCACAGCCATATCCATAGCCATATCCATAGCCACCAGCAGGATGATTAACGTAGGGTGGTGCAACATTGTTCACAAAAGCATAATTATTTGGTTGGTTTCTGCCTTGGCATGCATAACACATAACAATGGGAATGGAATAGGCTTCCATTGACACTAGCACGGGCCTTCCACATTGTGTGCAACTTGCTCTTCGAGTTGCCATCTCTTGGATTCAAGCTTCACACAAATTATATATTTTGTGAGTGACGAAGGAATTTATATATATTTTAGGTAGCCATAGATCATAGTGCATGCGAATGGACGTGTCTTTGCGTGACAGTATGGCCTTCTACGGAATCACATTCTATTTTCCTTTTCTAATAGATAGCTAATATATCAATGTATAGCCCACCGTTGATTATTATTATTATTATTATTAGAATTAGAATAAATATCTGTGCACTGTGCATGCATATAATTTCAATAGAGAATCAAGTCTTAGTCAGAAGAATAGTTTCACTCTATATCTCAACGTCTGAGAGAATATAATAATGCCACTTGATAATAGAGATTGATTAAAATAATGGCATAATCGCTGTGGTAAAAGATGTAGCGGTGATGCTTGCTCATTAGAATAATCCGCATATGTTCCGTTCCAAATACAATTAAAAAAAAAGCTTCTAACTTTTATATTTGGACCAGGTATTTTCTTTCTCTCAAATTCAAAAGTGATTCTTTTAGTATTCTTAATTTTGAAATAGCCCACTTTTGGTCATTGTAAAGGACTAAAATGATACAAATTAAGGACAAAAAAGAGTTCTTTCCAAATAACAAGAAATTAAAAAAAAAAAACACTTTTAAATTTGAAAAACCAAAAACAAATTTTGAAAGATGACTAATGATTTCTTATCTAATTAGTTGTATTTTTTTCCCCTTAATTTATCCTTATTAATTTTCGTATGTGTAGATGACAAACGGTCGAACCTCATCACTCTCTAAGAAGCATATGTAGTTTTGTTGTTAATTTGATTCTTACTTTGTAAGTCATTCAAGTATATTGTTATTGAAATTTTGTAGATATATAATAATTAATCAATAATATATGTTAATATTTTAATATAGTCAATTATGGGCAGAACTTTATTATTTTGGATATTTTCTGGACATTTAAGTTAATATTTTTATTTTGGGATTTATGTGTTTGCTATTCGACCAAAGCAAATTTAAGGTGCTTTTAATTTAATTGTGTAACAAATTATGAGACTTACAATGTTATTAATTATTATTTTGAGATTTTACAGAACAAATATATTTAGCAATGCATTGCACAATAATGGTAAAGGATGCAATAATAATTGTTATGGATATGTTTCTTTTTTATCACATACATTATATATAGTATTGGTTAACTTTTAATGTTCTTTCTTCTTAGTAGGTCTCTGTTTTTGTTGAAATTTGATAAAATCATGAGTTATATCAGGAAAAAAAATAAAAATCAATTATTACTTACTTTTTTCGATTAATAGTTTTAAAGCGGATTCAAAGGGGTGTTCAGGGAAGTTGTATGCATCCTTTTGCAAGTTTGTCTACCTGCACACATTCAATTCTATAAAAAAAAAATGTGCCTCATAACTTTCTTTGCATGTTTGAAGCCTTTTTCAGTATACACATTTATAGTCTTAACTATTTAAAATTCAGAGATCACTCGTTGCTATTTTAGCATACAAATGCAAATAATTGTGGACTCCAGATTTTTCTTCTGTCCTTCCATTGATTCAATCAACCACAATGATAGAGTTGTAAATTTGTGAATTGATTTTTTAATTTATTTAAATGTGGTAATCGTTGTCGACCTTATCAAACACTCCCATTATTAATTTTGTATGCATAATTAAATAATAAATACATAATCATTTTATAATTAAATTACATTATTAAGTATATGAAAAATATCACTTTTTCTATCTTGATATGATTCAATTATAATAAAAATGCATAAATATTTATCTTATTAACTTCAAATTTTAAATATTTATCTTTCTAAATAATATAAAATATTACACCTCACACAGGTCGAAGGTCTAGTTTAGTAAATAATTGTATTTTTAGTATTTCTCTTCCGTAAGATACTATTAGATTTAGACCCAAATATGTATGCAGTTGATCAATGGAAATATTTTAGATTTTATTTAGTTATAATATTTTTTGAGGAATATAATATATTTTTATTTTAATAGATGTTATTAAAAAGTAAAGTAAATAATTTAATAAATCTTTGAGAAGGTGTGAAATTTTTGCGAGATTCAAAATATTGTCTTCTTATTAGAGAAATCAACCGAGTGTTTGTGAAAATATTTGTTGAGAAGTAAAAGTTTTACTCACCAAGTGACTAAGCCCATAACAAGTGTTGTTTTATGGTTTTTTTTATGAGACAAAAGTTATTTACCATAAAAGATATAACACATCCTAAAAGATATTGTTAGAGACATAAATGAAAAATAATAATTAGAGAAAACTAAAATGATGAGGCTTAATTTGAAACTTATTTTTATGAGAGAGAGAGAGAGAGAGTATATTATAATAATTGTAAATATAATTATATAAGTAATTCATTATATTGAGTAATAATAACACTTAATAAAATTCATTATTTTGAGTAATTTGAGTAACTCATGGATTCTAATTTATTTGAAAACTAGAAATAAAAATAGAAATTATAGATGTAGGTATAGATTAGTTAAGGGAAAATGAAACAGTTGAAGTATCGAACAGACAATAATAAAAATGATAATGTGAAAGGAAAACGTTAGCTTAGTTGTCAACATTACACCTTATGCTTGAAGAAATAGATATAAATAGATAGATTGCCAATTGTTCAAGGGTTTAATTGAATGTGCAAAAAGGTTAAGGGATTAAACTTTTTGCATTCGGTTTAAAATCTTGCCCTGTTTATTTTATCTTCTGTTGTTGTAGAAACATCTCCACCAACACAATTACTTCTTTTGTCATGACAGCTATGAATCTATGGTGAATAGCCAACATTTGGTCCTGATCCTGACCTTGTCAACCAAATAGCAAATGAGATAATTGTCTTTTCCAACTCCCATGCTCACAATTCAAATTTTGTATTAGAAATATCAAATTCCTCTGACGATGATAAAAGAGGGTCCTGCCATGCACCAAAGAAAAGAATAAAATTTCATGGTAAAAATAAAACATCAGTAACTGCCAATTATGATTTATAATAAATTTTGATTGAGTTGGATAAACGTCTCACATTTAATGAGGAATAGAAGTTGATATAAATTCTTGATGCCGTTTCAAAGATATAACATATATCTCCTTTCAAATAGAATCATAGATGATGGTATAATTTTGGGTATAAAACAAAAATGCTAAAGTGATAAAATAAGATTACGTGCTCTAGAAATTGAAAATGAATATCACTGATTTTAGAGAATCTAAAACTCTTCTTTTCGTGGTGGTTCATACTTCATACTGATATGGCCTGTAGGGTGCAGATAACAATGCTTGGATGCAAGAAAACCAGATACTTAATTTCTATAATGCTATATCTTATACATTGAAAGGATAAAATCCACTTAAACAGGATTTGAGAAGATTATGTCAGGTAGTATCTTACACTCTTCTTAAAAGCTTTAGGACAAAAAATGCATTTATAAGAGGTAAAACAATGTTATGGCCAATAATGAAGGTTGGCTCCTAGGATTACCATTAAACAACATCTTGGATTGATGACACTTGAAACATGAAAGCAATTGCGACTAAAGAAGATGGAACATGGAAGCCTACCTGGTCAATTTTTCGATAAAAAATACGTCTCAAGCAGCCGTTATAGAATTTGCTTTGATGGATCATTCCAATTTCCTCATGTATATTTTCTAGTAACCTGGCATATGTTATTTCAGAATCTTCTCTGACTATTTTTGAGAAAAGATAGGTCATAATACCATTCTCATTTTTTCCATCAAAAGCCTGCACAGATTGGTCACAACTCAATTCAAGATGTGAAAGTGTCTAAATTTATTTCATTGCATTTCATCAGAGAGGGAACAAATGAAAATATAAAAGATTCTTACTGCACTATCACCAGCCATCTGACTATCATCACAGGCACTGAAGCAAATAGCAAGTCCACCATTTGTTTGTTTTGTCTTAGATGCTTTGTTATCCTCCCATTTCCAACTACCTCTGCAAGCATGCAAGAGACTAGTTAGTTGGATTTCAAGGGGCAAGAGTGATTTTATAATAGAAGCATCCTACAAAGAGTAAATTACAATAGCACAACCTAATAATTTGTGAAATTACACATAATTCTCTTGATCTTTTAGTGTTTACAACAACACTTTTATCGATGAGGGTGTAATATTTTTCAAACAATTAAGGGATTAATATATGTTATGTACAAACAAAGTTGCACATCATTGGATTATGAAGAAAAATAAAGATTTATAAAGTATAAAAAGTCTCTATTAGTATGGGGTCTTTTGGAAGATGATCAAAAACAAAATTATAAAAGTTTAGTCTCAAAGTGGATAATATCATATTAATGTGGATACATGTGTATATGTGAATCTCGAGTATCCTCTGATATCAGAGTCAATGATTGACTATGTGAATCTCATTATTTATAAAACACACATAGCCTTCATTGCATGAGACCTTTTGGGAGATGATCAAAAGTAAAATCATGAAAGTTTAAGTTCAAAGTAGACAATATCATACCAATATGAAAACATATGTATGTGAACCTTAAGTATCCAACAATATAAATTTAATATCTAAGAGTGTTGCTGTTATGTTTTTTAAACATTTAAGGAAAGTTAGTGTAAGAGTAAAAAAAACAAAAAACAAAGGGTTCATCTATAATCTCGTAAAACTTCACGCGAGGGTCAGTGTAATTTACTGTAAAATTAAGTGAAAGCAAGCATTAAACAAGTACTTACTTTTCTTTTTTGTAAACACATCTAAGATCAAGTGTTGTTCCACTATGACAAGCATCTATAATAGCATGAAGTTTGAAACCTTTCTTGAGAGGTCGAATAATGATAGAATTTAAGTCATTGTCAGTGATAACTCCATCTCCAACAAAATCAACAGGACAAATAGTTTCATCAAGCCCATCAACTTCATCTCCTTTTTTATGTTCTGGTTGTTGCGAACCATGTCCGGAGAAGTAGAACACTAATGAACCCTCTGACTGGCTGTCGCAGTTCTCCACAAGCCAATGCAAGGAGTTAAGTAAGTTCCTCCTAGTTGGAATTAAATTAGGATCCCTCTGATCTTCTGCAATTGTTAAGTTTTGGAATAAAATAATATGTATTTTTCCTTATAACTACCGAAAATAAAGAGTCTTTTTTTTTAAGAAAATTTCAAAAACTCTTTCAGTTTGTACCCTAAGAGGCTCTAAATCTGGCACTTTCAATGCATACTGACACTCATGCACAGGGAAAGTCCAATATAAGATATTACTCAAGTGAAAAACAAACCTTACTATTTATTTGCAAAATTGGTTCAACAAAAATCCCCAACAATAGCATAGCACTCGGTCTTTCAATACAGGTATTGACAATCTACTATAATATATACATTCTAGTCATAAGAAGTATCAAAATTATGTTCAGAAAGAGCTTTCAATTTTATTTTGTTATGCATTGAAACAAACATGAATCATACAAAATTCACATACCAATTAGAAAAAAAAGAAGACTAGGAGATACCTGTGAGGACACGTATGCACTCATTTGGGAATTTAAATTTATCAAGCAAAAGACTTTTGATGTTTTTAACATCATTAATGGTTCCTTTGAGCTTGAATTTTCTTTTCCCATACGTAACTCCACATATAACTGCACGCTTGTATCTTGGTGTGGAGAAGGACGAGGAAGAAGCTGGTGAAGGAGATAAACTTTTCTGTAAAGCTCCATTTTTGTTAGCACTGTTCAATTCATCATGTTTGAACACTTTGGCTCTACTCTCTTTCCTTGATTTCTCAGAACCTGAAATTGAATGACTGACACATAGACATTTATAGCAACGGTATGCAGTTGTGCTTATAGGTACTAGAAACTTGTGTTGGCAACCACTGCAGGCAAGTGTTGCTTCCCCCATAAGCTTTGAACTACTAATCTTCTGGTAAACAAAGCAACGAGTTGTAGAACTGTAACTAGTGTTTGTGGGATGAAAAATACTGTTTCCCCTTGTTCTAGTTTTTTGCTTACAATCCATTGTTTTAAAAATAGTTTTGTATATGGATCAGACATGCAATCAACAAGAATGATATATCAAAGAGATTAGTATGTCTATTAGGTGTGTGTATGGATAACTTTCGGTTCCACAGAAATCAATTAAAAAATCATGGTGATAGTCAAACTCAAAGTAATAAATAGTTGCTTTAATTTTTTCAAATTCTCACCATGATTTTACGGGTTAGAATTAATTATAGGAGGTATCCAAATACACTATAAGCAATTCAAACGAAGCTGCAAGATTGACAACTTTCACCTTTGTTCATGCGTTTCTCTTGATGTGTTGATAGTAATCCTTTTCTTTTATAAAAAGAAGCCAAATGTAGAATCCATTCCCATTGTCTGTCGAAAATGATGTACGCTGACCTTTATTCCAATCACAGGTTAAGCCAACTCTTTTTTCTTTTATGTAGTATACCAGTGTAAAATGTTCGCAACATGTATAAATATTTTCAGGAGAAGAAATTAATTTTAATAATGATTTTTATTTATATTTTAAATATTTAAATTTAATTTATTTAAATCATTTTATTATTTTAGAATAAAATAATATTAACATGTGATTTTTATATCACAATTTTTTTTTATATATAGAATGTTCATGAATAATATGAGATTATTCTTCTTTAATAAAAAAATATCTTTATAAAATTTAAATATAAAATTTATAAGAATTTAGGACTTAGCACATATAAAGAGTGAGAGCTGAGAGGTTCACATAATAGGATTTAGGATTTATAAAAATAATAAAATAAATAGTTGAAAGAAAACATTTTAAGTGTATTAAAGGTGGTTATAATTTATAAGAGTAAAATAATAATAAAAAATTCATGAAAACAAAAGACCACTTTTATATATAGATATAAACATAGACAATAGACATCAATTTGTTTTATTCGTAAGAATTATAATAATAATAATAATAATAATAATAACAAAATTTTAACTTAAATCTTTTGTATATTATTTTAACCCTCATTAATAAAGCTAATTTTAATGATTCAAATATTATAAACATCAATCATATTTTATAAAAAAAATAATCGTATTTGAGCCATGTGATTATTATGTGTGACAAAATTATCTTTTTAAGTGATTAATATAATTACATATCTCAAACTCAAACTCTATAGTAATTAAGTTTTTTCTAATCTCATCTATTTTAATTTATCATTTTCATCTTATTTTTAAATTAAATTTGTCACTATAAATTTTTTTATTATCATAAATCTAAACTAATTAACATATTTAAAAAAATATTTATTATGAGTTTTAGCTATATACAATAAAAAAAAATTATGCATCACCCGAAGTTAAAATATTATTTTATAATTTTGTGGCGAAAAAAAAGTGAGATAAAATAAATTTTGTAGAGATGAAAAATATAAAGAAATATTGTTGAAAAAAGTATCATGGAAAAACATAAACCGTTAGTGGCACATCTCTTTTGCGTCCAACATACGCTTTGTTCATTATTCTCGTTATACATAATCAAGAACCAGATGCTCCAAACCATTTGTTTAGCTGCTAAAACTGCATCCACTTTCCATATTCTTTTTTTTTTATATTATTATTATTGTTATTATATATATATATATATAAACAATGCCATGTGCCTACCTAAGAATTTCTCCCCCTCTACTTTCTCAGGTTGTTTCACATAAACTTTATGGTTTTCTAACAACCCAATGAAAAGAAAAAGTAAAAAGTCCAGCCGAACCACTTGTCTTTTATCAATTCACATTTTGCATAATTCACCCAACAGTGTTTGGCATGCAAAAGATTAAACATTTGATTTATTTATTCTCATGTTATTCAATATTAGATTATTATTTGTTGTCTATAATTTGTGAAACATTGCTCCGATAATCTAAATGTTTGCATTATTTAACTAATTACTTTCATATATTAGATTAATTTACTTCTATTTAAACACGCAAAAATGGATGCTTTATATTTATTTGAAAGAGCCACTGCCAATATAAGCTACTGAATTATCAATTTGTTTGTGATAATTTTAAAAACAAACCATCAATTCAGTATTTAAAGCATCATCCTCTTTCCTAAATAACCCTCTAATTAATAAAATTGTATAATTATTCTTTAAAGTATTGAATATCTATCCATTTAATCACTCAGTTAATATATTTTACTAACATTGAAGAACTAATTTAAAGAATTTTTCAATAGTTGAGAAACTATATAACATAATTTCTAATATTTTAAGGCCTGTTTATATAATTTCAATAGTTTAAGACTGTTTAGAAAAAAGATGGTACTTTAGGGACTAAATTCATGGGTTACTCTAATTTCAATCTGTTTAGTAACTATCACCATACACTGTTACAAAAGACTTGCGGATGAAAATAATACTACATGATAATATCCGTTCTCATACGAATAAACGGGGCAATGTGCAACAATACAACAATCGAGCAATACAAACTATACAATCAAGAAAGAGTATTCCATCAACCCCCAAATGCTGGCTTTTCTCTTCTAGATCATCTCTTTCTACTGTCTTTCGAAGATCATTCAGCTGCCAAAGTTAAAAACAAACTGTTTTAAGTTGACATGAAATATGATATAGCATCTGCAATTATGACAACTGACAAGTACCACGATAACAAGAGTTGATCATATTGGTAATAGATTTCCTCTGAAAAGAGTAAATCATATTGAAAACCACCCCCCTCTAGTGACTGCAAATTTTTTATTTTTGGTATTTTGGTCATTGCAGTAAGACTACTTTTTTGCTCGTCACTATAAAATTTTTGCTTCTTGAGTAACTATGAAATCAAATTAGAAGATAAGATTACGGAAACCATTCAAAACAAACCATTAATCTTCTGAGAATTAGCAATTACCATTTCTACAGACAGTCGGCGTTTGGCGATCCACAGTCCAACACATTGACTTGACCAGAGATTTTTGCCTTACAAGTTGGACACATGAATCCAACAGAATCTGGTTGTATTTCAGAATTAACAGCATCATGGTTAAATTCTATTCCACACCATACGCACACAGTTGTAAGCTGATTTCTGGCACCAATATTTAGCATAGCTTCTTGTGATTCAAGCTGAACTGAGGATGCATGTGTCCCTCCCATCACTGTGTTATTTGCCAATTCAATTGGTACATCAGGCAGAGGAGAATCTTGCACCCTTGCAAAATCATACTCAACAGTATCTATTTCATCAAACCTCAATTCATGGAAACCCTTCACATTATCGTGTTCATGGGCAACACTGCAAAATTGTTTTCCTCCCTGTCAATGAGAAACAACAAATTTTCAAGGTAAAGTTCAGTACTACCAACCAGTTGAGATGCATCATGGCTGGGTCGTAGCTAATTGCTCATAAGAGAATATAACTTTATTTAAAGTTAATGGTGCTATATTCCAATAATTATAATTAGCTTTTAGTAAGAGTTTAACTGAAGAAAGAGCAAAAAAAAACCAGAAATATACTAGACAAAGGTTGTTTCAAGTGCACAAGCACATAGTCATCACCTAACAATTAAAACACCTCAAATCTCCAGCACACGCTAAATTTAAGAAAAGCAAAGGACATGGCAGGGCTTTTGACAGGGCGAGTAAGATATGCAAACATTTTTAATCCTGGCAAGACTAAAGGCAGGTTATAGGTATGCTTCCTTCATTTCCCCCAAAACAAACTTTCCCAAATTAAAGAAATTTGTTATTTTTCTCTTTGGAAGATACATGATATGATACGATAAAAAGACGAATAATCAATTAAAATCTACATGGAAAGCCACAATTAGATTCTTAAATAATGGACTTGTTACTCAATCAACAATTAATAAATAATATAATTCATGTATTCTTTAAAGGACACATGCTGGAAGAACAAATGATTGACAGATGCATAGAGTAACAATAGCAGGTTAAAGTGAAATAGTTAAGGATAAAAAACTAGTGTTACATAGAAGCATTAACAAGCGTGCGAAAACCATGCTAAAGGATCACTATGGAAAATACAGCAATGGTTCAATACAAAATAAAACCAGAATACATTCAGAGACACAGATGAAGATACGCACAGTAGTCCACATGCCATGCATGTACATGCACATACAGATGGCCTAAAATCAATCACTTTTTAAAAGGACCTTGATATATTAAGATCTAAGACTATTCCCTCAGTTTTTCAACATATATGGAACCCTGAAAATAAAGGCATCCCCATGGATTATGCCTTATACCTTATCTGAGCTGCTGAATGCAGGCAAACAATCCAAAGATTGTTCTGTGGATACAGAGGGGTTAAAAACCCTAGAATGTGGTACATTTTCTTGAGAAGCTGGCATTACCATCTCTTGGACATTAGTGCTAACAGTAACAGGTACATCCTTCAAGCCAAGTAAACTGAATTCCAACTCACTCTTCTTACTAATGTCTTCATCAAGTTTAAGTTGACTCTTAGTATTAGTACATACACTCTTTTCAGATTCTTGTCCTATGTGATGTTCAGATTTAGGGTGTAACTGGTTTTGAGAAGCACCATCCAAATCAATCTCAGACTGATCAAGTTCCTCAATAGTCAATGCCACATCATCTTTTACCATAGAAGTCTCAAATGCATTAACATCTTGCTTATTTACGGATAACAAACCCATGTTATCTAGAAAAGTAACCATCTTTACATCAATCACATGGTTATCATCATCAATTTCTTCTAATTTTTCATCCAAATCACGAGCCACATTTTTTCCGGTCAAGCTATCTTCCATTTGCAGTTCACTGATAGGAGATTCAGAGTTTCCGTCTTGATCTAAATACTCAACAGCAACATCTGAAGCAGAAATCCTATTCAGTTTAGCAGAACTATGGGGTTCCGTGACAGTATCCTCCATAATAGAGTTTTGAGCAATTTCAATGAGGGCATCCATCTTAGATATCCTTAAAGGCACATATTCCCTGACTGGAGACTTGTCCATCCTCTGGACATTTGCCTGACCTGGCGAATCCTCAACTTTCCTCACATAATTCCTAACATGGATCCCCACGTGACCGTTGTAGCGACGCCTTTCCAGAAACACCTTATGGCAGAATTGGCACTCAAACTTCCCATCCTTAATTATAACTCCATCTCCAACAGACGAACCGAGCCGGTACCGCCTTGTTGTCCTCTGGTGAAAAGACAACAGGTGCTTCAAGTACGCATCCTTCTCGTCAAAGCTCATGCTGCACTTGCGACATTCAAACAGGTCATGAATCTGCACATCCGCAAGATTTTCAAACCCCAACAAGGCAACCTCCTTCACTCGCTCATTAGCAGCAGACAAACCAGACACATCTGAGTTAACAGCAACGATCTGCATCTGATCTTGAAGCTCCTGGGTAACACTTGCAGACTGCAGCACAAGCAAACACAGCCCTCCATAAATCTCCACAATAACATTTAACAAACAGATTTGAGTCATCTAAGTGAGAGTATTTGGATATGTATTTAACATAATAAAGTACAATGATAACTATTAAGAGTGTGTTCGGAAAAGATTTTTTTCCCGACCCAACTTTCAGCTGTTTCTATGAAGAAAAAAAAAGCTATTTGTGAAATAAGTCATTTAATTGGAACAACCGAAATTTGTAATGAATCCGGAAATTAGAAGCTTATGATATTTCCTAACAACTTTTTTTTCTCCTAAAATTGATTTTCTACATAAAAGCTGATTTGTTTTTTATGTATCTAAATAAAATTAAACATTTCAAAATTGATTTTCAACAAACTAACTCAAACAAAAACTCATTCCCACTATAATCGATTATACTCTATTATTAAAGTAATTTAATTTCATAGCTTTTTTGAACACACCCTAATTAGCAAGAATGTAGGCAATTTTTATATATTTGATTTTGTAATTAACGATTGCAAGCACATTGAATCGTGGAACGAGCACAGAGACATGCGTACTTACATTTTGAGCAGGCACTCTCTGTTCTGGCACTACAATTTCACTCCCACGAGTAATCTGCATGTGTGCATCACCGTGACCCAAAAGAGACTGCAAATAGGAAGACACCTCTTTGCAGGACACAAAATGCTGTCCACCGGGGCTGCACTCAAAATCAAATACATAAGCCCTAGGAAAGCAAAAAAGAGCAAAGGAGGATGATGAGAAGAAAACCTAATGTATCTACGGCAATAGATCCAGGCGCGACCATCCTTCCTCTTCAAGCCGAGAAGAAGCTTCCAGCGAATGGGCAAGACGTGGCCGAAATCAGCGGCGTCGACGATCCTCCGCTTCTTCCTGCGGCTACCCCACTGGCCGGGCAAGTCACGGAGAAAGGCTAAGAGGTCCTCTTCGTTGCGCAAGCCGTCGGTGCGTCTCTTGAGCTCCTGGGCGAAGGGGTCTTGGGCTTGGGCCAACTGGGAGAGATCGATTCCTCCACGGTAGCAGTCATCTAAGTGGACTTTGAGTTTGGGCTTTCTCCCTCGCTTCCGCTTGATCCGGGGAGGGGGACCGGAGGGCGGGGCCAGCTGGACTTGCTCGAACTTCGGGTCCTCTCGGATCAGCTCTTTCAGGTACTCGATGATCAGCCTGTTCTGGGCGTTTTCCGGGTGGAGGGGAGGGAGGCTGGGCGCCGGCAGGAGCCCCGAGAGGCGGCGGCGGCGGGCGCTCGGCGAGTAGGTCTGACGGCGGGAGCCTGCGCTCTCGTTGAAGAGGGCGGGGTCGACTTTGGGAGGGAGGGCGGAGGCGGAGGCGGAGGGAATGAGAGACGAGAGAGAGAGGGCGAGGAGCTCTGAATGTGAGAGTGTGGTGGAATCTATGCACGCAAGAGACTCTGACTTCAACGCTGCCTCCATCTTCTTCACCATAAGCACCCACTCTTGTCCTCCTTTTTTCACACTTCCCCCTCCCTTATTCCTTCAAATATACTTTTTCTTTTCTAACTATAATTATCTTCTAACTTTCTCATTTAATTATTCTTTTTATATTTATTAACCCCTTTAATAGTTCTATTTTAATAAGACAATAAGTTATTAAAATCATATTTCAACTCTAACTCTTACCTTTTACAAAAAACACAGTTAACCATTAGATTAATATATTTTAATATATAAATACAAATCGTAATATTTTTTTTTAACATAAGTTAAAGTTACACATATTGTCAAAGTGTATTATAATATATTATTATTTTTCGTAATATTTTACAATTATATAACCCATGATCTAAGTTATATATATTATAATTTGCATTGATGTATCAAAGAACGTGTACTTATTATTATTAAATAAACAATATTTATATATATTATTACTATTCTAAATTTTAATATTAATCCTAGGTAAAATATTTTAATAATTTTTATACATCATCATGTCTTATCCTCAACACATAACATTTGTGCCTCCATTATATAACATTATATCATAGTAATAATTTCATTTGTTTATACCACAACATTTTCATGTCACTCATCAATATCATGTCAACAAAAATTGTTAAAATTTTAATAAGGATTGATAACAATACTAAAATCGTACGTACGATACTTGATAACTAATTATGCTATGGTTATATAATTTTAATCTCCCAAAATTATTATTTATATTCAAGTTATTTTACATGCATATATACATATATTTTTATTGTTTTTGACTTCATTTTCTCCTCGAAATTAAAGTTTCACTCTGATATATTATGTGGGCATTTAATAAATAAGTTTTTAAGGCGAATTACGGAAGCAGAAGTCTATTTTTAATTGAAAAACAGCACCTAAGTATAAGTTTGGTCCAAACGTAAGACCCGGGTCAAGCTTTTGTCGTATCCCTCGTATTTATAATAAAATTACTATTTAGTATTCAGTGGGTAGATAAACGGATGAAGGCTAAAAAAGTAGAATAAAAAATTTAAATGCAAGTTTGACATCTCCATGAGAATCAGTTTCGTACTACATTCCATATAATATAATCAATGAAAGTAGCCAGATTAGAAGCTTTATTTTGTGCAAATATCCTAGGACTGGCTGTTTGGAAAGAAGTCGCATGCAGACTATAAAGGATAAAAATGGATCCACCTTTGAAACATCTCAAAGCATCGTTCATGGAAGTACTCTGTGGGAGAGTGACCTGCTCCCTGCTCAGAGATGTCCATTTTAGTATCACTCACATTCACATACAAATATAACTCACAGTTAAACACATCATTCTCTTACCTTCAAAGTTGCATAGGTCAACCGGTATCCTGTATTAGAATATATAACTTTATACCTACATATGTAACACAACCAAAACCATTCACAAGTCCACCATAAAATTAAATTACTTTTCAAATGCATGAAATAGTATACAATGTTTTTTCTGTATTAATTGTTTTTATAATCACTCACCCTGCAACTTGACCATCGACAAACCATGGCGTCCAAGAAGTATCAATGGTAAGATTCAGGTTTCTCAACCATTTTTCAGTTGATATGTGAGGAATAACCATGTCAAGGTCGCCACTACAAAGTACAAACCTTAGTCAAGTTAAAATCACTTACGCTAAATTAGTCTTTCAAATTACTAGACACCACAGTCAATTTAGCCTTTAAATTTACAAAAATATTATTTTAGTTCTTAAAATTGCCAAATTTGTAGTCCTTATTTTTGCAACTTCAAGAACTATAACTACCATTATTTTAAAAAGTTAACTTGACCGGTGCTGGTAATTTTAGTGACTAATTTGGTGTATTACACGTAACACGACAGTTTGTGAAAGATGAATAGGGTTCCGTACCCGTAAACTAATATTTGTAAACCTGAGTTGGTAAGATTCTTCTGATAAGGAATTACATTTCGAATGTCGTAATTGTATGCGTATTTGACGACTAGGTTGCATCTATACCATCGTTGACCACCCTGGTTTTCATGACGAAGGAAAAATAATTGGAATATGAGAAAAAACATATGTGACATTAACAAAGGACTACTAACATAACATGCACATACCTCGCGAACATATAGGGCTTCCTGAACGGTCTTATTGTTTGCCCATATGTCCGAAAGTATATAAACAAAGTTCTGCAAAACCAACATTGAAATATTTTAAGTAAGAAAAATTTATGAGAAAATAAGCTATATATGCAGAAATAGCATACAACATTTCTATACTTTCATCCCATCACAGACATCATGTATGGTAAACTTTGACAGTTGTAATAGACAACGTATAATGGCCATGACCATTCAACCCAACTCATATTTGTAATGAGGAATGTATACCATTATATTATATATGAAGGGCAACTATATATATAGTCATAGATGTTAACCTTGCACCACCAGTCCTTAAATTTATGTTTTGGAGATGGATGGGGGAAACGCCTGGCTTCTTTGAGAGCTCTTTGAGCCGATTCATCATCTGGTTTTGGTGATATTAGAGCACAATTAGATTCCAGAACATTGTCTTCATAAATATCACCAACGCACTACATTTATGAATATCCAAATACTTATGTTACTTTAAAATGTTATGAGAAAAAAGAATGTACACGACATGTTATCCTGAATATTTAAACTTCAGTAGCCATTAATCAATACCTGAGATATTGGTAGAAGTGCTTCCACACATTTTGCATTTGAGGGGTCTACTTCATAGTACCAACCATTGCAATTTTCTTTGGCTGCCTGTGAAAGAGAGTGCACTGTGAGCCACCGAATTTTACTTTCAATTGTAAACTTTACAACAAAGCTACAGTAACAGGGTTTATATATTCCTATTGGTCCTTAAATTTATAAAAAAAGAATTATCATGTTTGTCCTTCTAGTTCTAGTGTCTCAGGCTGACCAGGCTAAAAGACATATATATGTAATACAAATTTTATAAATTAAAGGACTAACTCGTATACATAAATAATTTAAAGGATTAAAATGTGAGTGATAGGAATATTTCCAACGACTAAGTTGTCAATAAAGCTGTTGTAATGCATTAAAACATTGATATAACTAGTACACAAATACCTCGTAAAGCTTGTCTGATATGAGTGCCATGTTGTGGGCATAGGGTACTTTTGAATTTCCCTCTAATGATGTATTAATATGGGGGGAGCCACTTAGGAATCCCTGAATACATGTTTAAGAAAATAAGAAAATACGTGATCTCTTGAAGATCCGAATGTGATGCATAGTGACTAAAGAAATCCATGCATCACTTACTATTAGGTTTATAAATGGCTGATGTTCAGCTGCATTACCTGCATTTGCCACAACCATTAGTCTTCTAAATTAAAGTCATGGTCTTAAAAATGGTAAACTCGAGGTCTCGGTAATAGCTTCCAAAATTTATTTATATATACTACAACGATATCTACAAATCACCTACTAAAGAAAGATTATAGGTAAGAATGAAACTAAGGAACTTTTTGTTGGCGTTGCTCAGTCCTATCCTATCATTTGAACCAACCTTTGAGTCAAACTTACCATCTAATATATACTGTGAAATGATTGGCGCAAATATTCCACTGTATGAATCCGTGGCAATATAGATCCTATTCGAGATATACTCTGGGTGTTCAATCAGCCACTGCATTTGAATTTAAGTTACATACACGTTGCTCATCATTTTAGTTAAGAACTTGAGATAATGTAACTATCAACTAGCTAGTATATATTATCTAGAATAAAATGTTACCTTCCTTAAGAATTTGTAAGTCTGTCTAGCTGATATAGTATCTGACATAAGGTAACCTTGTGGGGTTGTAGCATACGAGAAGCCAGTGCCAACAGGAACGTCAGGAAATATTATGCTTGCTGTCTACAAAATTTCTCATAAATTGGGCAAACATGGTTACAAGTTGATAAGAAAATTTTAATGGAGGAAAATGGAGTAATAATGTAAGTTTTTCACCTTTGTCCAGGCGTGTGACTTCAAGATTATTTGTGGTATACCCCCAGAATACTCTGTCCCATTGAAAGCCAGAGGACCTTAAGTTGGAGAAACAAACAGGATTAAAACTAAAAATTAAAATAAAGAGCTAAAATTCTAATTTAGACATAAAGAACTAAAAATAATAATTCTTACTCCATGATTGAAAAGAGTAGCACATATATTAAAACATACCAACTTGGTAGAATAGTGCATTTAAACCAGAGCATCCAGGACCTCCAACCAAGTAAAGGAGAAGAGGATCAATGCGTGGCTTTCCTGTTGACTCAACAAAATAGTAGAACAGCTCCGATTCCTCCACACTTACATATCTTTATCACAACAAATTATGTAACTTAGCATATCTGTTATTTATTAGAAAGGAAAGGGAACTTCATGTGCAAATTAAGTATCCATAAAATAAAATCACAAAGCCGAAGGAAAGGGAAAAATTTAGGGCATGCCCGTTTTCAATTTTCATTTTCACTGAAAATGAAATTTTGGGGGTGAAAATGCGTTTAGTTGTTATTTTAGAAAAAAAAAATTTAACATTTTTAAAATCAGTCTAAATTTGAAAAACGAAATATTATCGTTTTCAGATTTTCAAAGAAAATGAAACTAAAACTGAAAATGTCAAATTATCAATTAGAACAAAGACTAATTCTGCACTATACATAATTTTATCATAATGCAACATGGTATAGATAGACCCTGTGAGTCTGTGACCAATATGTTAGAGAACAACTAATTACGGAAGAACAAGATCTAAGAATAAATCAAGGTGTTAGCGAGAATGCTAATTAAATTGCTTAAATGACACAAATTCGAAGAACTGTTACAAATCAAATGTGAAAAAATTATCATAGATTATGATTATTATTTTTTAAGATAAGTTGTATTGATTATATTTACATTTATTTTGTTTGTAAAACATAAAATGCAATTACATAAAATGCAATGCTAATTGCATTTTTATTTATTTATTTTAATAAATAATGTAATAATGTTAATATTGTTGAATGATATATATATAAATTATAAATATATTATTATAAATAAGTAAACCAAACACATTTTCATTATTTTCATTTTTTAAAATTAGAAAATAAAAAATTAAATCAAACTTGTTTTCTAATTTTCAAAAATAAAAAATAAAAATAATTTTTAAAAATGAAAATAGAAAATATTTTATAAAATCAAACAGCTGTAGAAAACAAAATAAATACCACCACTAACCACGTTATCATTTACAGAATTAAATTTAAATTCACAATTTTGCAATCTAGGTTTTGATCAATAGTAAAGTTATAATAAAGTGATTTATATTCGCATGTCCTTATGAAAAATATGATGATGTTAGTTACGAATGCTTCTAGTTCAACTTAAAAGTAACATCTTTTACTTTTGGCTTAATTATACTTGGCCCTCGTAATTTAGTGTAGGAGCAATTTTAATCCTCATAATTTGAATTGCTTAATTTTGGTCCATAAATTTAAATAATAGATAATTTTAGTCCCACAAACAATTTACCATCCAAAATTTAACAGACGTTAATATATGAATTTTTTTTTTTCGTTTTGGATCTGAGCATGGTGTAAAACTGGATCCAGAACGGCCCGTTCTCCTTTCAGAATGGCCCGTTCTCCTTGCAGCACTTGCAGAATGGGTCATTCTCATTTTAGAACGGCCCGTTCCGGATGCAAAAATACATCCATGACGAAGGGATCAAAACGGGCCGTTCTGCTTGGACGTTCCAGTTTCAAAATTAACAAACTACGTGTGCAAGCAGAACGATTCATTCTGCTTGAAGAACGGTCGTTCCAGTTGCAACATTAACACACAACCTGAACTACAAACAGAAAAGAAATTAAATAATATATAATTAATGTTTATTTAGCATAAAATTCATATATTAACGTCTGTTAAATTTTGGATGATAAATTCTTTGTGGGACTAAAATTATCTATTATTTAAATTTATGGACCAAAATTAAGCAATTCAAATTATGAGGACCAATATTACTCCTACACTAGATTAGGAGGACCAAAAGTGCAATTAAGCCTTTACTTTTACTCAAAGTATGGATTTTTTTTTATTATTTTTTTCTAAACAAAGACAACATTTTTAAGAGACGATCATAGCAAAGTTGTGCAGAGATGTTATGTAACCATAGAGCATCCTCTCACACTCCAGAGTCAAAGTATGGATTGAAAGCAACATTTAAATAGAAAGTGTTTTATTAAAATTGATATATTTGAATTGGGTTACTGATGAATGGTGTTAATTAATTAAAGCGATGATGATCATGTACAAGAGTGATGAGTATAGCAAGAGCAAGCTACATACCCAGTCTCGAGCTTGAATGGCAACGGACCCTGAAAGCCAGGTAAGGTTTTGACGATGTTGCCACTGCGTGCATTGCCAGAAAGAAACAATAGAAGCAGCAACAACTGTAGGAAGCACATGATGATGAACTTGTTCATGGAACTCACCAGCACACCCATTCTTGTGTTCTTATTTTTCAGCTCCCACAGCTACCCTACTCATAATAATTCAAATTAAGGCTTAATTAATTATTAAGTTTATTTATATGACATGACATAATATTGTAGTTTGGTCAGGAATATAGCTAGCTTGCATTTCTTTTAATTTTGCAGTGAAGTTCGGTTGCTTGAAAGTTTACATCTCCCATTCAACTAACTAGTCAGTGTCCGTGTGAAAACAATTAGCTATATGTATATGCATGCGTTGTTCTTGTTCATCACGTCTCCACCTCAGCATTTGATTTATGCAATCCAAGTCATATTTGAAACAAAAGTGTGGAATTTTCTCTCCTATACTTCAATGTTCTTTCAATCCAATTACTTCAAACTGCTGTACAAAATATATATGCATCATTGGGTTAATTATGAAGACCAATTATGTTCTTTCAATAATCCGAGAGCTCGAGTGTTGATCTATTATTATTTTAATATTCTCACGTATATTTTAACGTAAAATTTATTTTGTTAATTAAACATATATTTTAATTATCCTTAATAGTTTAAATTGATTTTATTAAAATATAAAAAAAAAAACATTATGAATATTTTGTACCGACTGTTCATATTGAATAATTTATTATATAAATTATAATCATCACTCAATTAATGCAACTATACTTCCTAATAAAAACAATTTGCTACTTTTTCTTTAATCTAATATTACATTTTCTTTTTCACTGACATCTTCCTTTAAAATAATTCTATTTCTAGACATCATTATTAAACATTAAATGTGGGCACCTGTAAAATAATTTGAATTTTTTAAAAGAAGAAAGTACACTTTAAAGAATATATATAAATCAACTGAGATTGTAATTGATTTTAATATTTATTATATATGCAACTTGTTGCGGATAATAAATAAGTAAATTAAATGAATTTTTACGAACAAAATCGGGATAAGTATAATGTACTCATTATATAATAATATTTAAACTATCCTTTGACATTTTTACAATATATAAAAGCAAGTATTATACTTTGGTAATTTTTTTAATGAATTATTTTTATTTGATAAAATGGTAATTAAATTTATTTTGTGAAATGGAAAAATAACGTAAAAAAAATACTTCCAAACAAATTAAGATAAACACAAGCTCAAAATTACTTTTAATATATTTTTTATTATCTTTAATTTTTATGCAGGCACTATAAACATCTAATTATACTTGTTATTTTTCTTTATTTTTTATCATATTATATCACTTTTAACGTCACAAGAATCTCACAAATAGTCTGATAATGATCAATTTTTATGCAATATTTGTAGTTGGATTTTTCAATATAAAAAAAGTTAACAAACTTGATTACCTTAAGTACTGATTGATGGAACCATCTTATACACATGATACTACATGTCTTTCCTATCCCAAAAAACATGGGGTAATTCAGAAAATATTAAATTCTGGATTTGATTTGATTAGTTCTAGAATTTTTGCTTGTTGACCAAGGAGTGTCCCAATTCGTTCTGAATATTTAAAAGAAAATTCTTATTTTAAGAAATTGATTTGATTCTGTTTGTTTTGAAAGAAATTCAAACTCTTCCTAATTGGTTTTCTGATAAATTTGAAGAATACTTTTGTTTTCCTTAGTTGTTAGGTTATTATTCCTTCATCAAAAATATATAAATCGGTAAAGGAATTTTTTTTTTTTTTATGAATGGAGTTTCTATAATCACTTCATTTTTTTTAGGTTTTTTTGTTGATGAAGATACATTTTCAAACTTATCTATGAATATTCTTTAGATTAATTTTAATTTGAACAATATGATAGGTCACCATACTTATCATAAAAAATCTACATTAAACAAAAGTTAAAACATACATAAAGTAAAATGTATAGAATATACACAACATATATAAATATAGTACATAAATTACATATGTCAAAGATTAAACTACTACAAATATCTCCTTGGCAGTCAGTCGAGGACTCTAAACCATGACTCCACCAGAAGAGTCATACAAAACAAGTCACCTCCAACATGACTTGCTAGTGAACAATCCAACTAATTTACCTAATTCTACTCTGCTCACATACCAAGTATGGTCATCGCACTCCAACCACAAGAAAAAGAAGGGTAAGCTTACAAAAGAAACAATATACAACAATACAACAAAATCAACAAAACATATATCAACATCAATACAACTTACAACTTATTAGTTTGCTTAACATTTATCAACTTTATAATGATCAACATCTTAACATACATATATTAACAACTAATACGTCATCATGCATGTCAACTAAGGAGATCTCTTATAGCATAAGAAGTAGTTTAAGTGGTTTGATCCTATCAAATCACAACATTAGACCTATCTCAGTCGGGTCAAGTATAATACAACGTTAGGCCTCAGAGAAAGTCAAGTATAAACAACTTAGTTTGATTACTCAAATTTTGTTACTTAAACTATGAAGTATAGTACTATGTCAAAGTAAAACAGTTTGAGTATTGTTTACCACAACATTAGCTTATAACATTAAACCACCTATGAAATTAGTACATCGACTATCTTCCAAATATTACAACCCTCTGATATTAAGTTAGAGACCAAGTTTTTAACTTCGTACTTTACTCAATTAGTTATTCAATTAAGATATGATTCGACTATACCTCCATATCAATCTACATAGATCCCAGAGGGAAAACCAACTTTAAAAACAACATAATTCATCTCTAATATCTATGTGCCTTAATTTAAGACATTTATCTTAACCACATGTGCACAACTTCACAACTTAATATTGTTATACATACAACTCGTATCTTACCATCATCAATTCATCTATTGACCTACAACATAGATTATCATCATTATATGTATATCAACATACAAACAACTTTATCATCAATATTCAACTATAATTCATCATAAAGCAGTCAGCATATAACAATTTAAATTAATGAAATAAAACATTAAATAATTTTAAATTTAAAAAAAATTGTAAACTTGTCTATGCATTAAAATTATGGTTTTTTTTAATTTAACGATTAAATCGTTAAAATTTGATATAAAATATAAATTATTGAGTAAATTAAATTTATAAAAATTTAGACAAATAGATTTATGCTATTATTTATTTATATATGAAGTGATTATAGGATGGAGGAATATGATGCTTTGAGGAGGGATATACCAAAGGAGTTATATGGAGGGATTGGATTTGAATATCCCTAAACATGCTAATTCGGGAAAACAAAAGTACATAGAATTTTCCAAACTAGTGATTGCTCATAGTCATATGCCGTAATACTTCGGTCACTAGTATTGTCCTTTTCACACAATATACGTCCGAGTTTCAACCAAAAGAGTTAAAGAAAGAGACGGGACAATGTCGACTTTTTTTTTTTTTTTAATATATTGTTTTTCTTTTAATTGTTTAAATAATTTGGGCAGGTTTTTATTTATCCAAATGATTTATTTTCAGGCCCAGGTGAGAAATCAGTTATCTAGTAACCGATTTTTCAATGGTTTTTTTTTTCGTTTTTTGGTTTTTATTTCAGATTTTTGATTTTTTTTTCATTTTTGATTTTTTTGATTTTTGCATATTTAAAAAATTTATAATTAATTTTAAAAAATTCATTTATTTTAGATTTTAGAATATAAAAAATATATTTAATATTTAAATTAAATAATTTTTAAAGAATAAAATTTAATAAAATTAATATTAAATATAATTTTAAATAAATGACAATATTATTATATTAAATCACAACATTAAATAAGAACAATTTTAATTGAGATGAACAATTTTAAATAAAAACAAAATAATAATAACAAAATAGGAGATCGAATAAAAGAGAACAACAACACGATTACAATCCACCAAATTACAATTCAACTTTAATGATGTCTATGCCCACTAGTGCCACACCTCGGAGGTTGTCGGTTCCTTGTTGGGTTTCGACGACCAATGCGTGGTGTTGTGGTTCAACTTGCTCCTCATCATGTTCTATATGAATAGTATTGGTGGCTGGATTCGACGAAGCACTTCCACCGACCTCAAAGTGATAAGAAGAAAATGAAGGAAAATTCATGCTTTACATGTAATCATATGCCCTTTGTGGCATGTGTACGTCGACACCGAAAAGATTGCTCATTAAGTCCCTTGTTGGAGTTGTTATTGATGGTGGGGTGTACATGAATTGTTCATGGTGCGTATGAAATGGTGGATTCATTAAAAGAGACTGGGGATGTTGTTCCACACTATAAGGTGGGTGGTTATCTCCAGCCACTAGGGATGTTGTTCCTATAGTTGTTGGGAGTTGTGTATTAGAAGTGGATGCACGAGATGAAGAATATTAGTTAAAAGAAATAAATTTTGAATTAGCACGAAACTATTGCAAATACTCAAGAGTGTTTTGGAGAGGCCCTTGAAGTGGTTCTCCAAAAATAACATATGTTTGCATCTGTCTTTCCAAATGGAAATCTAGTCTACATGTTGTTCATCCTAGTTGGTGTCGCTATGTCCTTTCATGTCTATTTCGTGCATTTTATCAAGATTGTGGGCTTCATTGGAGATTGGTTGCCACAAGCCAAATTGCAATTGGACTATGTTACTTTGATGCCAGACTACAACTGTAAATGAAGTTAAAACAGTACAAGAAGTGCATATTCTAGAATCCTTATAATCACGTATTGGTAATGAGGACTGAAATTCCCTATATCGCATTCATAGAAACTGAAAAAGAAAAAGGTTTAGGGTATAAATTAATTGAATAAAAGAGAGTATATGTGGGAAAATTTGAGAGAATTTGACATCGTATTACCTCGTTATGATTTATGTTGTTATATCTTAATTTGTAGCCAAGTAAGTCTCCATGGGGCGTGCCTGTAAATCTTAGCCCTCTTCCTGACCACCTAAAAAATTTGTACATTGATAAGATTTTTGGTAGAAAATTTTAGTTGTTCGATGTATTAAAGTGGTATAAAAATTAATTGATATCTCGATGTTAGCAAAAATGTAATATCCCGTTAGACTCTTGGTTGGATGAAGGGCATTCGATACCAAGCCCAAGACTGTAAAAGCAAAGAACATCCACCCATTTTCTTTGACGATAGATAGATTGTCCTACACATTTCTCTGTACAAATGTGTCAAACAAGTAGAACCCCAACTACATCGTCCTGCACATTCCAAGTCAGCCAACAGTGATAATTACATTAAGTGAAGTCTGTTACCTAACTTGTCTGGCATAATGACATCACCGATCAACCCTAAGATATATGCCCTACAATGTTATTGCAATTGTTGTTTAATGGGCTCATCTGGTAGTGCAATTGTATGGTCCCTTAACCATTTTAGTTTTATGGTTGAGCCAACTAGAGCTTCCCCTTTCAAAGGTACGAAGCCTAACAACTCATAACACAATTCATCCTAGTCAAAGAAAGTTGGTCCTATGACTGGGTTGTAGTGCCACATCTTCTAAAGTGACAGTGCACTCACCAACTGGGAGGTGAAAAGCATGTGTCTCAGGCCTTGACCTCTCCACCAAAGACATTATCAGACAACATCAATTTTAAAATGTCTAACTTTCGCTACCTCACCAAACCCAGCAACCTCCAACAATTGTTCAATTCTTGGGTCAAGTGTAGGCATGGAATGATAGTAAGATTGAATTACTTCATCACTTGTTGTCTACGAATATGGTAGAATTGAAATGCTAGTAATGAATAATATTAGTTGTAAACATTATGCAATATATATTAACTTACTATAAGATGAGTTTCATTTGACCTATAGAGGTGTTGTTTCCACAACATAGTTGAAGATGAAGAAGAAATTCTTGAAAAACAATAGCAACGAAATTGAAGAGTGCAATAGCTGAAGAGAATTGATCTTTTGTTGTGTGTTTAGGGTTGGAACGTATGTAGTGTATATATAGTACAAAAAATTTGAATTAGTTTGTCTCATTGCGTAAGGAATCCAAAGAATTTGTGCAGAGTGTCATTGTCTTGGTTCTAGAGCGTCAGGAATCCAATGACTTTGTGCAGAGTGTCATCAATTTCTTTGTCCCAAAGTGTCAAAAAATTAATGCTTTACACAGAGTGTCATTGTGTTGGTTCTAGAGCGTCAGGAATCCAATGACTTTGTGCAGTGACATCAATTGCTTGGTCTCATAGCGTCAAAAATGTAATGCTTTGTGCAGAGTATCATTGCCTTGGTCCTAGAGCGTAAAAAATTTAATGTTTTGTGCAGGGTGTTATTGCCTTGATCCTAAAGCGCCAGGAATCCAATGACTTTGCGCAGTGTCATCAATTGCTTTGCCTAGAATATCAGAAAATTAATGTTTTGTGCAGAGTGTCATTGCATTGGTCCCAGAGTGTCAGGAATCTAATGACTTTGTGCAGTGTCATCAATTACTTTATCCTAGAGTGTCAGAAAATTAATGCTTTACGTAGAGTATCATTGCCTTGGTCCCAGAGCATCAAGAATCCAATTACTTGCGTTTGTCCACATTAGCTTGCTTTAGTTCTATATAATGTTCTGTAACATATATGCTAAAATGCATTAGATTGAAACGTCCAATCAATGGAGTCGTTAATTGTTCCGGCCACTGTTTATTATGATGGACAAATTGTCTCCGCTGAGCATGGAGATACGTTTGTTAGCAACGAGGTTAGAACCCTACTGGTAAGCAACATGATGACTTATCTGCAACTTAAGCAGGTTATTAATAATAACCTTAATCTTCCTCATTACAAAGTTGTCATAGATATCCACTACCGATACCCAATTTCATGTATCGGTAGTGTATATAAATATATAACGTGTTGTTTTAGGGATGATGAACATGTGGAGTGTATGTTTTCATTATTCATAGAACTGCACAACCTAACAAGTCTCAAATTGTATACTATGACGACGTATATTGGATTATTGCATGGGATGAAAACGATTGAAAGATACATTGACCAAACAATGAAGTTAGACAACTAATGTTATATGATTTAGGATTTATGTTATTTATCTACTATATTTGAAGTTTGTTTAAATTGTGTTTTTTTTTAAGTTATTTTCATTTTAATGATGTAACTGTTATAATTAGTGTACTTAATATATAATGTCATTAATATTTAATAAATAATATTATCATTTATTTAATAATAAATTTAATTATCTATAATTATTAATACAAAATCTATATATTTATTATTATATTACATTATTCAATTTTCTATATTTAATAAATTTAATTTAAATAATAAAATCAATTTTAAAATTCTAAAATCTAGTAAAATAAATAAGTTTTAACATTTTCTTTATTTTTAACATAAATTTAAAATATTATACATAATTTTATAATTTCATATATAATTCTAAAATAAAATTAACTATATTTAAAAAAATCAGAAATATTATAATTTATAAATAAATATAATATTAATTTTATTATTAAATATTATTCTTTATAAATTATTTAATTTAAATACTAAATATATTTTTTAATATCTGAATATTTAATTAAATTAATTGTTAAAATTTTTAAAAAACAAAAAACAGAAAGAAAAAAAAAACTAAAAATGGGTTATTTTGGTAAATAAAAATGGACCCAGATTATTTAAAAAAAAATTAAAAAATAATATATTAAAAAAAAGGTCACGGGACAATGTCGACTTTTTCACTAGTAGTGTCCTTTTCACTCGATAAACGTCCGAGTTAAAACCAAAAGGGTTAAAGATAGACACGGGACAATGTCGAGTTTTTCACTAGTATTGTCCTTTTCACTCAATATACGTCCGAGGTTTCAACCAAAAGAGTTAAAGATATACAGACACGGGACAATGTCTAGCTCTCCCAGGGCTAGTTAGGCAGTGGGCACGAATTTTACGTAAGAGTTACTTTACTTTTCACTATTATTTTGTAGTTTTTGGCTTTAAAATGTCCAGATATGCTGCTATAATTTTATTTGTATCAAATAAATTTCAAGAGAAGTAAAATAAATTTTATTTGAGAATTTTTGTTTTCTATAAGAGATTCAGTGGGCTAGCTGTATTGGTATACCTCAAGCAGAGGCTTATCAGTTTTCTCTAACCTTCATCTTCACAGAAAAAAAGAATGACGAAGATGAGCTACAATGATGAGAGAAAGCCGCACGCTGTGTTCACTCCAGTGCCAGCACAAGGCCATATCAACCCTTTGTTAAAACTAGCGAAGCTGTTTCACCTCAGAGGCTTTCACATAACTTTTGTACACACTGAGTACAACTACAAACGCTTGCTCAAATCAAGGGGTCCTAATGCCCTTGATGGCCTACCAGACTTTAGATTTGAGACCATCCCAGATGGTCTGGATGATGATGATGGTGATGTTACTCAGCATGCACCCTCTCTTTTTGACTCTATCAGAAAGAACTTCCTCCAACCCTTTTGCAACCTTCTTCATAGACTTAACCACTCTGCAACTGCTGGTCTCATTCCCCCAGTTACATGCTTATTTTCTGACGGTTGCATGCCCTTCACTATACAAGCTGCACAACAATTTGGACTCCCTAACGTTATCTTCTGGCCTGCTAGTGCCTGTTCATTCTTGTCTGTCATCAACTTTCCTACTCTTGTCCAGAAAGGTCTCACACCACTCAAAGGTATCGACTTATGTTCTTTCGTTTTAATGTTTAGGCTGTGTTTAGATAAACTTATACATAATCCATTTATTTAGGAGAATTTTTTTTATAAAAAAAAGTTAAAATAAACTTGATTTCTTTCGTGAGATAAAATCAACTTATGCATGGCTTAGTTTATGAGGAAGTTAGATATTTATGATATGTATATATTTATGTATTAAAATGAATTCATACATGGAGCTTTAAGATAGCAACTTTTGTGTTTATGATATGCAGATGAGAGTTATTTGACAAATGGGTATTTAGACACCAATGTGGATTGGATCCCTGGAATGCAGAACTTCAGGCTGAAGGACTTTCTTGACTTTATAAGGACAACGGATCTAAATGATGCGATGTTACAATTTTTCATTGAAGTTGCAAATGGAGTGGATAGAAACGCTACTTTTGTTTTTAATACTTTTGAGGGCCTTGAGGGTGACGTAATCAATGCTCTATCCTCTATGTTCCCTTCTCTCTATACGATTGGTCCTTTCCCTTTATTATTAAATCAAAGTCCACATAACCACTTGGCATCTTTAGGTTCCAATCTTTGGAAAGAAGACACTGAGTGTCTTGAATGGCTTGAATCCAAGGAACCTAGATCCGTGGTTTATGTGAACTTTGGCAGCTTCACAGTTATGTCTGAAGAACAACTCTTGGAGTTTGCTTGGGGTTTAGCCAATAGCAAGAAACCCTTTATGTGGATCATTAGGCCTGACCTTGTCATTGGTGGATCCGTGATTTTGTCATCTGAGTTTGTGAATGAAACAAGAGACAGAAGCCTAATAGCAAGTTGGTGCCCACAAGAGCAAGTGTTGAACCATCCTTCAATTGGTGGATTCTTGACTCATTGTGGATGGAACTCAGCCACTGAAAGTGTTTGTGCTGGAGTGCCAATGTTGTGTTGGCCATTTTTTGCAGATCATCCAACAAACTGTAGATATATTTGCAATGAGTGGGAAATTGGGATTGAAATTGATACCAACGTGAAGAGAGAGGAGGTGAAGAAGTTGGTCAATGAGTTAATGGACGGGGAGAAGGGAAAGAAGATGAGACAAAAGACCATGGAGTTGAAGAAGAAGGCAGAAGAGGAAACCAAGCCCGGTGGTTGTTCATACATGAACTTGGACAAAGTAATTAAGGTGTTGCTTAATTAGACCATCAGATTGAAGGCTTATTATTTTTATAATGCTTTAGTTTTTTATCCATTATCAAACTCAGTACCATGAGAATTTTCAATAATTCAGTCAACCAACTGAGTTAAATCACTTTAGTTAATTTAGTTTACTGTGATAGTTCATTGATCTTCTATAGAATTTGTTGCATTGTAAAAATAATGCACTAGTTGCAGGTGCTAGTTTGTGTTTTCTTTTTAGTTGTATGTAATGTAATATCTTCGTCTTGACATTTCAGACTGTGATTTAATTGTCTTATCCACTATATCATAACCTAAAGAACGAGACTTTCTAAAATTAAGAAAAAAACTTAGAAAAATATTAAAGAATACACTATATTGAATGCACTCTTGTGATTGAAATTTATTAAGTAATGGTGGAATTAGAGATCAACACTTAGCAGCCAAAATATATCAGGTAAAATCCATCGCTAGAGTATGTGATCAAGATATCATAATCATAGGATCCCAGAAAAAGAAATTCAATAATTAATATTTTTTTTTATAGTGATCTTTGATAAGATGGTCTTAAAGAAACCCAAAAGAGATAAAATTAAATAATTGAAGAACTTTATAAGTTGTTCTTAGAATATTAAAATATCGTAATATTTAATTTTAATGTTATTTTATATTTTTTAAATAGGATAATGACACTCGTACGATGTTCCTTAGTGCTATTAAATTATAAATAATGTATCATTTAGTTTATTAGACATGAATGAGAAATAGTAGTGTTTGTGCTTATCTTTTCTACAATTTTTTTATAACCTTAAACCCTAAAATATTTTGTTTTTTTTAACAATTTTGTTAAAATTGATTAATATTATATTATTTATTTAATATAATAAAGTATAGTATGTCATTTTTAATTAAATAATATATTTATTTTTAGGTTATAATATTTACATTTTTTACAAGATAAATAGTTAAATTTAAAGATACTCATATACAATAGTTCTTAATGATCAATTTGTTGTATTCATAAATTATCAATAACAATCTACTTAATACTACTTAGACTTAATTATAAGTAACATATATAAGACAAATTATTCATATTAAGAAAAGTAATTAAATTAGTTATTTTTAATTAATTTTACAATAAAATTTTACTTTTATTTGAAAGATACTATATATTTTAAATGGTTGTTATATTTAGTATAACTGATTAGAAAATAGAGTTAGCGATTAATTAAAGGTATGAAAGAAATTTATCTTTAAATTATTTTAAAAATCAATGATGATTGTTTATAATTAAGAAAAAAAATCAATTTATTATTTATAATTAAAACTAAAGGTAATATACTAGTAATATATTGATTATTAACCTATACCACCTTGTGTATTATAAAAGAAATAATTGTAAATTGATCAAAATAGAACACTTATTTTAAAAAATACTAAAATAGAATTTTAAGAAATATTAGATAGGTACTACGAATAGACATATGGGTCAAAGTCCTCACACAGTTCCGTTTAGGGCTTTTGGCTAGAATAAATTAAAAAAAGTTAAAAACTTTTGAAATAAATTATTTAAAAAATAATTTACCAAAATAAATTATTTTAGTCACGTGGACACAGCTCAAAAAACATTATAGGGTTCAACATTTTGCATATAAGAGTAAAAGAATGAAGAAAAAAAAAGGTCAATACAAGTGACGTTTTATGCTTGCAAAAAATTCATAACCCAACAGAAAACGTGACATGCATTCAGGTTTTCCATGCAAGCAAAACGAAATCGAAAAAACATGAAAAACATCATACATATTAACATCTTTAGTGAGAATTTGATGAAAAAAAATACCATATATAATGACGTTTTTCTTTCAACTATGATGAACCGAAAAACATCATATATATTGACGTTTTTGAAGCAACAAAATACATCATAGTTGGTGATATTTTGTAGCATGCCCAATTTCCAAAGTACCTCATGTGTTCGTGGGTTAGTTTACTCCTAACTTAAACCATCGTAATGATGTACCATTTGAAATGAAAATAGGAGGAAATAAAAGAAAATATTTTTTTTTAGTTTTAATGCAAATAAAAAGGAAAAAAATTAATGAACATCATATTTTACTTCATTTTAATTTGAAAAGTAAGGGAGAAAAAAAAAAAGAGGGATCAATTGATAGTGGGTATCAAATTTTTTTACGCATGTACTATTTAATAATTTAAAAAAAACACAAATTTAACTAATCCAATTAAAAAATTTATAAAATTAATATAAATGAAAAAGTAATTGATACTTTACTCCACTATTTTATTTTAATGTATAATATATTATTTAAAAAATTAATTGATAAATGTTAAATAGAATACTAACAAATGTTTAAAATATATTAAATTTAATATCTATGAGCACGAAAATAATATCAAATAATTAAACAATTAAATTTGTAAAATACATATTTTCAAAATGTTATTAAATGACACAGGTGTAATAATTTGACAAGTACTAATTAAAGAGTATTTAAACTTTTAAACATAATGTTTAGTTGAAGAATTTAAAACATGGGAAAATTAGTAAAAGAAATAAAGATTGTAGACTATATAGACTACCTGGTTGTGCGTGTGCCACTTCAGCCTTTGAAAATAAATGCAAATTAGTAGTTATAATTTGTTTAGATTTATGCCACCTGTTCAATTTTTTAAAAAAATATGTGTTGAATATTTTTCCATGTGATTTTATACTTTATTATGATAATAATATTTTCTTTTATTTTCATTTCAAACGTTACATCATCATAAGCTAATCCACGAATACAATGGGTACTTGGGCATGCATGCTACAAAATGTCACCCACAGGAACGTTTTTTGTTGCTTCAAAAATGTCAAAATGTATGATGTTTTCTGGTTCACCGTGATTGCAAGAAAAACGTCAATATCGCCAAATGTCCACTAAAAACGTCATTATGTGTGTCGTTCTCCATGTTTTTCAGTTTCATTTTGCTTGTATAAAAACATCAATGCATGTAACGTTTTCCAGTTGGATTTTACATTTTTGGCATGCATAAAATGTCACTTGTATTGACGTTTTCTTCATTTTTTTTATCCTTACATGGAAAACATTAAATCCTATGCCGTTTTTTAGTGTTTATGGGATCAAAATAATTTATTTTAATAAATTTTTTATTAAAATAATTTGTTTTTAATTTATTCTAGCCAAAAGGCCTCCGTTTAGTGAATTTTTTACCAAAATAATATTTTTAAAAGAAAAATTACAAGATTAACAATTGTGCAAGTTTATTTACCACAATAGAACCATTTACTATGCATGCTTAGAATTCGGTTCCCGAGAAACCGAATTTTAAGCTTCAAAGTGTTATTTTTTTGTATCTTCTTCTCAGAACTCGGTTCCCGGGGAACCAAATTCTGAGTTGTTTTAATATTATTTTTTTTTCATGTTTGTGGGGAATTTTGGGCAGATGTTGGAAGTGGAACGGCCCGTTCCGCTTTCGGAACGGGCCGTTTTGCTTAAAGCCACAGAGTCATTTTTTTGAAATTAAAACGGGCTAAGAACGGGCCGTTCCAGAATTAAGAATTAACGGAAAAATAGACCATGAAACGGCCCGTTTTAAAGAATTTTTTTAGTTATTTTTTTTAACCTGGAACGGGCCGTTCTTGTTTTAGAACAACCCGTTCCAAAATAGAAATTTACACATTTTTTTGAATGTGGAACGGCCTTGAAACGACCCGTTCCAGGAGCTGTTTTAACGAAAGAGAACGTGGTTTGGAACGGGCCGTTCTGGTTTTGGAACGACCCGTTCTGGGCAAATAGTAAAAACACAGGTTTTCCTATAAATAGGCCATCTCCCCTTCATTTTTTTCATACGATTTCAGCTAAGTTTCTCTCCTTTATTCCTTCCCTGTACTGCTTCTGATTCACCTTCATAGTAAGAAATTCTTTTTTTGGTTAAATTTTCATTAACCAAATATCAAAAATGTTGTTGTGGAAGCAAAATGAGCATAGGTCTGTCTTCATTGGTAGAACGGTAAGTTTAGCACTTTCGTTATTTACTTTAAATTTCAATGAACTTGTAACAAATTAGTACTAATTTTGGTAATTATTGCAGGAGACTGAGAATATTATTTGTTCTTACTGTCATTCAATGCCAGAACCCCACCCTCTAATTGTTCCTATACTAGAAGAAGTTGGTTTATCTGGGGTTGCAAACCTCAGACATCTGAAAGTGGATCACGCATTAATCACAACTTTGGTTGAAAGATGGAGACTTGAGACTCATACATTCCATTTTCCAACTGGAGAGTGCACCATAACACTGGAGGATGTTGCACTTCAACTTGGCCTAAGAGTTGATGGTTTACCAGTCATTGGCCCAACATTATATGACTGGGAGGAAATGTGCTCCACCTATCTCGGTATCATGCCAGTTAAAGGTGAGTCACTAGTTGGCTCTATGATTAAATTAAAGTGGTTAAGAGAAAATATGTTAGAATTACCAGAGGAACCATCTCAAGAACAACTTGATGCACATTATAGAGCATATATATTAGGTTTAATAGGAGGTGTTTTGATACCTGACAAAACAGGCAATAAGGTACATCTTATGTATTTATCTTTATTAATAAATCTTAGAAGAACAAGACGATATAGTTAGGGGTCGGCTTGTTTAGCTATGTTATATAGGGAAATGTGTAGAGCTACAAATGTTAGTAGCAAAACAATGGGTGGTTGTGCATCTTTGTTACAGTCTTGGGCATGACATTGCATGCCATATATTGCGCCTATTTCCAAGATACCAGCAACGTTCCCTCTAGTCTGTAAATGGAGCGGGGGCAGAGTTTTAAACTTTCAAAATGTACCTCATAATGATGTTGTTGGATATAGATCAAGGTTTGATCACATTCAGAATGATCAGGTAACTCTTTAAAATCATTTATTATTTTTTTATTTTCTTTTGTTTAGCATAATATGTTAACTAAAAAAGTTTAATTTTTTTGTAGTTTTTATGGGCGCCATATGCAGTATTGCAAACAGTAATACCGATGCAAGCATATATAGATGCTCTGCTATGGACATCATGCACCTCCATTATTTGTTTTGCAATTGTTGAATGACACCAATCTGATAGAGTGAAATTGCAATTTCGTCTCTTCCAGGATGTCCCTTCTCCACCGAATAATTTGGATAACCTGCACAACATTGACATGAGGGGAAGACAAGATGAAAATTGGGTTACAAGACATGCTCAATGGATCGACATATGG